CGTACTGCAAGCACTTTAAGTATCTATCTATCTATCTATCTATCTATCTATCTATCTATCTATCTATCTATCTATCTATCTATCTATCTATCTATCTATCTATCTATCTATCTATCTATCTATCTATCTATCTATCTATCTATCTATCTATCTATCTATCTATCTATCTATCTATCTATCTATCTATCTATCTATCTATCTATCTATCTATCTATCTATCTATCTATCTATCTATCTATCTATCTATCTATCTATCTATCTATCTAGCCGCTTATGTCTGGATGCTCTTAACGAAAATTATTGCGGGACGGTAAGATGGTAAGACGAATATGACGCGCTGGTCAAGACATGAAAAATGTCACTATCTCATCGCGTAAGTCGTCAAACGCCAGACACGGGCGGGTATGCGCCACAGGTGACTAACACTTAGTATCTACCAAGGAACGACGAGAACACACATGGGCAATTTTTAACGCGGAAGTGTTAAGAAAAACTCGACATCGGCAGCGTTGACTCGACGACCAGCGCTTCATATAAGCTTATCGCTTCTGGTCTTGCTAATACTCATGTTCCTGTTGGCGCTGTTACGCATGTGCAAACAACTAGTTATATAAACATCTGCAACTTCTCAGCATATGTCTGTGCGTGCAACATTTATATACATATTAGACGTCATTTCATGACGTGCTGCTCAATAAAAAAAAATACAACACTGTGAACTTCCCTCTGCATGCTTCGCGAAAAATTAACGTCGATTCCCAAGGTACGTGGGATCTGCTGATTTTTTTTTTTTTTTCATTACAGATGGTGACAACGTTGCGCGCTATGCATTTTAATTGTGTGGGTGCTATTCATGCCAGTGTTCTCTCCTCGGTATGGTCAGGGTTGCTTACCGGAACTTGCAAGGGCAGAAGAGGCCCCGCCCACACGACCAAAGCGCGACCAATTCTCGCTCACGAGCCGGACGATGGCCGGATTCACCAGCCATCCAGCTCATGTCGTCTGTTTAAATTCCGCGCCCATTGGTACTGGCGCATATTTCTACGCCTCTGAAGAGCAAATACCGCCGCCTTTCAGAGTTTTACCTGACTATAGTTGATTACCGCACCATCCCTCCTACCCTTTAACACTCTTGCTGATGAATTCACCTACGCTTCTGCTGTTTCTACGCTGAAATTAACATTCTATTCCCTCACCGCTGAGTATATTTATAGCTTGCTCACAGCCAGTATAATGACACGCAGCACGCCCTTGGTACAAAAGTTGTCACTAAGGAGAGCCTAGTGCCAATAAAATGGGTTCACTTCTCATTTTGTGGCAATAATTTTATCGGCACAGTTATCTGTGTGAAGCTAATTTATATTGTTCGAATTAAACGACGCGTAGTTCCACAGGCGGAGAGTTAAATAATGCAATGCAACCTCAGTCTCTTAGGTGCCGACACGAGGATATCTCTACCGCTAGAGATGCGTCTGTCTGTCACACGTTCGGCCACCCGGCCTAAGTTTAAGCACTTGCTGAATGCCCATTCATATTGAACTGATGACTGCGTTCATACTTGTGAACATTGTCGATCAAAAAGCAAAGATCACGAATATCTGAGGCACGACATCAATACGTAAGTACAAGGTGGTGTATCTCTTTACTTGAAAATACATATATACGTAATTCTAAAGAGTGTTTATTAGGCTGCGCCGAAAAGGCGACGCTCAGGTGCACGAAAAAAAAAGCCCTCTGCCGACGATATGGTGCTGCCACCTGGCAGTGGCCCTGGGTTCTGCACAAGACTGTGTTTCCCGAATCCACCAGCAGATGGCGTCCATATATCTCACGAATCAATGCCAGCCATACACGGCCTATTCAACATAGAGGAGGCGCTGCCTGAGGCAATGCAAAACATAAATGGCCGTGGATGAGACCAGGACTCATGTAGTACGGTCGGCAGAAGACTATCATCTTTCAACGACATTTGCAGCGCAGCACGCAGCTGCGCAGTCATTTTTTTGACATTCTTACTTCAACTGAAGCCATTTTAAATATGCAACAATACCATTATCGCAATGTGTAACACGTTCTAGTGTGCATCGTAAATGCAACCATCATGAGCTGTACATGTATTCACGACCCATGAGGTGGGAGTTTGCTTACAGTATTAGTAATGTGTACAAATCGACTCTAATTTATATGAAGTTGTCACGCTGTTTTTTTATTTGCCAGTGAACCAATCAGCTTATCATGACCTCTTATGACGTCTGTACATATTTCATAAATATTGATGCCGTACATGTTATTATATACTTATCAACCCTGATTCACTGCTTCAAACAAATATTTAATTGTGGTGTCTACTGTCACCTGCAGTGTGTGTACGAATTCGTATGCATCCTTCCGTAATTGTATACTGGACCACAAGCACAGCATTCGGGCCTTTTTCTTCGAGGTGATCCGCATATCAGCCTATGTTTATGAAAATAATATGGCGATTGATTCCGCAGCTCTGCCCAGCCGGGCTTTGTCGTACAATCCGTTTAGTTTTCGTCAAGCACGACGCGTACATGTAAGAACGTCGTTAACAGCTGTAGACGCCAGGTCCACATATTCCACTCATTGAGTTCCAATGCGGTTCGTCGAACACACCTAAAGGGGAGCTGGCTTGTTGTATATGGTGTTCAGAGCTGTTCTGATTGAACAGCAGCAGCGGTTAGAATCTGCGCCGGTCGTCCTCCAGCTTTCGAACTCTATCCGAGGAGCTCGCGCTGAATTGGACAGTGCACTCCACACAATATCACTCACTCACCTGAACCAGAAGGGTCACCAACGCCACCAAGGACGGTCGCCTCATGGCTCCCTAGTGGACGCACCTGCACTATAGAAACGCCGAATGCGACATTCACGTCTACGGCTGCTTTTCAGTTCATAAAGTGCCTCGTCCCCGTTTTAACCCTATCATTGGCGTAACCAGAGGGGGGCCCCCTGCTACGAAATTAGTTTTTAATGTTGCATTTGTGTATGCACACGCATGCACGCAAAAACATGCATAAAGTGTCTCTTGACCGCCCTCCGCGCATGCACACGCACACGCACACACACACACACACACACACAAACACACACACACACACACACACACGCACACACACACACACACACACACACACACACACACACACACACGCACACACAAAGACGTCGTGCCCTGCGTAGTGTCGCGATACATTCATTATTGAGATACAAATGCAGTTTTAAAATGTATCTCCATACAGATTACAGATACTCAAAATTATCTCTGAAATACTAACGCGATACTGCTCAGCCCTGCGATTCAGCTACGATGAAGAGGGGTAACAGAACGAGTAACTGTTCTTGTGACACCAATCAGCTATTATTTAACTGCAGTTGTGGTACAATGACTTCTCAAAAGAGCTGCGAAGCTATACCTATATTGATTTTTAAGTCCGTAGAGCTGTTATCGGTCTGGTCCGCCACTCAGCCGCGCGCTTGAGAGAAAGCCAAGGGCGTAGCCACGGGAGGGGGGGGGGGGTCAACTCCCGAAAATTTTCTATTACACATTGTCATGTGTTGAGTGTAAGGACTCCGGGAAAGTGATGGCGTCAAAGACGAGAATGCTGTTGAGTCACTGTGACACAGACAACAAAAAGAAAATAAGATGAGAGACGCGGGAAATCCTCGTGGCACGAGCACCGGGGAAGGAGAAGAGAGGAGCGGAGGGGCAGCGCGTGGGGAGAGGAGAGTTGGCGGAAGCAGCAGGAACAGATCCCGGGGCTCCTTTCGACGCCTGGTGCCTCGCATCCCGTGGCTCTGGATCGCCAAGAAGTCCACGGGCCGCCCCAGAGTCCACCCGAACGTGAGTCGCCACAATTAATGCGCCCCCAAGACCCATTGTTTAACTCCCTGCGGAGCATCGATAGTGACTCAACGTATACGCTGCTGGCGTTGCATCTGGGACGCTCCATGTTTCTCTGGCCAATCCGCACGGTGAAGTGCGGTCCTTGACTTTCTTGCTTCGGTTCATGTGAACTGTGAATTGATTTATAACTAGTGACACTTATCTCTTTATTTCATAGAACGCGAGTGGCTTGTCTAGTTGTTTTTTAATTTTCATGGATTAGACGTTTGAATGTGTATGTGCTACTGATAACGCCCGCTTCATCCTTTTTATTTCCCGAACCTGATACGGTGAAGATAACACACAGCGACACACACAACACATACACGAACATACATAATGAGTAATTGTAAACCCCCCCCCCCCCAAAAAAAAAAAAAATTCTGGCTACGTTCTTGGAGGAGGCATATAAGAGCATAGAGTTAATATATGAGAGGCTCTGCTTTGGGAGGGTCATCTGCCTCTCGGCAATGCGTTTCAACGGGACGAAGTCGCTCCCTTTGGCCAAAGTCTACATCCATGCTCAAATATATACAGATACAAGTCTACCAAAATAAACGTGCTCGTGCATCGGGCCTGCAGGTGCTGATGAACCTTCAAGAAGTGCCTACCGAGCGAATGACCGTAATCTGGGAGCTTTCGCTTGCAAATTGCCGATCGTCTTCTAGCAGCATCATGAATTGACAGACGACGAACGGATTGGACGCACTTTTGAAATTCCCGCCTGTTGGTGTGCGCTCACATTGCATGCTAAACTAAACCACGACGAGCTCCTTCATCGTGCGCTGAACACTCGTGCACATACACAAAATAAGCAAATATATGCGTAAAACATATGCTTCTTGGTTATTTTGCATGCTGATAACAAAAGGAAATGACCACGGAATTATCACGCAGTGTTGAAGCAATAAAGCAAACAAAATATCGAACGAGCGGAAGCTGACGAAACTGACGAATGCCCAAAACGGTAGTTAGCACCATCGCCACTGACATCTTGCTCGTTTTCGAACGTTTGCTAGGCATCGGTTCCAAGATCGACCTCCTTTGGTAAGTGAAGGCTCGCTGCAAAGATATACGTTTCATCGAGAAAAAAATGGTGAAGATTGCACTACAACTTCGCGCCAACCTAGAAAATGTCGCAACCTTCAAGCCTAGTCCAGAGTGCGTATGGTACCTTCGGCTGAAATGCTTGAACTGCGGCGAGCAGACCAGCGCTTGGCAAACTGTGGAGGCTTCCAACCGGTCGCCAATGAAAGGCAGTCGCAGGGAGGCTAATCTAGTTCTCAAGTGCAAGTTGTGCAACCGTGTGAACAGCATGGACGTTCTGAACGACAAGATACAAGCTTACGGCGCTGACGACTCGTTCGAGTTCGTCACCATCATTGTCTTTGAGTGCCGCGGCGTGGAACCGGTCGCTTTTGACGCCAGGGATGGTTTCACCGCTACAGCTGCTAAAAGTGGAACTGTTTTTGACGACGTAAAGTTCGAGAGCAAGGAGTGGGCCGAGTACGACGAAGAAGGGAAACAAGCCGTTGGGATCTACGATCTCCAGCACAAGTTCATCAAGGTGAAGTAGGCCGCGCATTTGCCCGTGGTCCGGGTGAACGCTTGTCTAGTCTGGCATGGAGCAAGGGACGCCGATCGACAATGGGCCCGAAAGACGCTTTTCAAAAGTTTGAGACTGAAACTGCGTGAGTGCCTTCATGCGGTTTCCTTTTTTTCCTTCATCATCTTGCGGACACTTCGCCAGCCGAGGAGTCACAAGTACTAGATTACGCCCCCCCCCTTTTTTTTTCTACACACACGAGCTGTGTCCAGTAAATTCACTTGTTTCTGCCTTTGCCTGTGGTGCCAGCACACCATGCTCCGTGTTACACATAACGTTGCACGAACACACGCTTGGTTGGTTTGATACGGATGCCACACAGTGCAGTTTAGATTGCGGTTGAGCCCCCATCGGAATCGAGATTCCTGATCGCAATTGGCTTATTTGTGTTAAAATCGGAATGAAGCCAATTGCGTTCGAGAATCGACCTAGATGGGAAGTGCCCGTGTGCCACCTATTAAGGTTTCATTGGCACATGGCCTCGATTTTCGCTTAGTCACTTTCGCTGCACAATCATTCGATAAGGCAACAGACAGTGACCGTCATAGAGTTTCCTAAAATTAACTAGAGGGAACTCTGGCACTGCGATCGTTCAGAAACCATGGGAATTATGGGTATGACAGATTTGCTTAGTCTTCCTCCTAGCGGGCAGCGAATCCCACTTGTGGCTTTGTTTATTGCTTTGTTTTGGTTTTGTATCGAATGAAAGAACCAACACTTTTGATCTTCGTGAGCTGATTTGAAATGGTAATCCTAAAAGGTGAAGTTGAAGTGTAACTGCTCAACATTTGCCGATTGTTGTTTCGTGACAAAGCAGCTTAAAGCCACGCGGCGCCTGAAGGAACCTAAAGTACGAAGACTAGGCAAATCCATGTACTACCCATAATTATCATGCTAGCTGAAGCATAGACACCAGCACCAGAGTTTTCTCTAGCGTATATTTAGGAAAATCTATGGTGACCGTCACTCCAATGAGACATCGCACAAATGTATCCGTGAAAGTAATTGAAAAAAAAAGAAGGCACCACTATGCGGCATACAGGGGCCGGATTCACAAAACTCACTTACGAAAACATTTTTGCGCAAGAGAAATTTTGTTGCGTAAGTCGATTCACGAAACGAAAAAACGTCGTAAGAGGCCATCGTTGTCACATCGGCCACTGCAATAAAGCGCACTGTGACTGACCGGGAACATGTCAGCGATGGTGATGCAGTTGCTATATTTGCTTACGTCACCGAAAAGTGCTCGTAAGTGGATTCACGAAGCAAAATTGTGCGTAAAAACAGCGTGGCTGAGAGAAAATCCTAAGAGTGGTCCGGACCACTCTTAGGAACAATGTGGCTACTTATAACCTGCTGCCGCGGCGGTATACTCTGGTGCCCTGGCTGGTTTTGAGCTAATTCACGCCCATGAAGGGCTGCCTGATGACTGCTGGTGCGTTTTTATTTCTTTCGGTGCTTTGAGTTTTCGTGTGTTGTTTCCCTTGTACGCAGTGGATGCTGTTGACAACCGCCGTCATCCAATAAGTTCGAAGTCGCAGTAATTGAAGAATTCTATTGGGCGTCAATGGCGTAAAATTATGCATGTAAAGATTTGTGGTTGGATGAAAACCAATGTGATACGTGAATGGTCGGCGCATTCGAACGTGGCATGACATAGGATCAACCTTGTTTGTTATGTTGTTGTGTTGCGCCCCATCTCATCCAATTAAAAGTGCGACTCGAGATTCATGCCTCATTGGTGGAAATTACCACCAAAAAGGTTAATGGGAGCACATTCCTTGCACGCTATTGGAAATAAAAATGAGAGGACGTTTTTAGTGAGTGGTTCATAAAGCTTGTGCTCTAGTGTACTTTCATTGGCTCTAACTGTCCAATGGGTGCGATCTCTGAAATACAGCAGTCGATACACTTTGGGACGATCTGGAACAAAGCGTACTTTGTAAACTAATGCGTATTAGGGGTGCGCATTATTATGCATGGAACTACAAACAAATCATGCATTTTCACCTTCACTGCTCAGACACCGATATGGACCGTGATAATATGGCAAGCAGTTGGAATAAAATGACCCTAGTAACTTTGTATGACACCGAAAATATGCAAACCCTCACGATTCTGGAGCAAACCTTGGTTGAATTCATCCCTGCGTCAATTACCAGCCATTTAACTTCGCGCACGAACATCATTCAAAGGTAGAGCGAGCCACTGACATGTATTTTGTGCGACGCAGCGACCACTTGACCTGAGAATAATAGCATTGCGAAGGCGAATTTCCTATCGCATGCTCTGATCGAAGCAGACGACAAACGCGAGCAGACGACGGCTTGGCCTACGGGCACAGCTTGTGATTGGTTGTGGAGCAATACCCTCCACATAAGCTCACTCCGTGACGTTGCCAAAACACTTCTTTCATCTGGCACGCCTGCGTGTTCGTCATATCACCCCCCTCGCACATAAGAGCAAATTTTGTCATGCCGTGAAAATAATGATTGATTGATATGTGGGGTTTAACGTCCCAAAACCACATATGATTATGAGAGACGCCGTAGTGGAGGGCTCCGGAAATTTTGACCACCTGGGGTTCTTTAACGTGCACCCAAATCTGAGCACACGGGCCTACAACATTTCCGCCTCCATCGGAAATGCAGCCGCCGCAGCCGGGATTCGAACCCGCGACCTGCGGGTCAGCAGGGCCGTGAAAATAGCACAAGTACTTTGTACGTGCTGCGCAGTTGTCGAAAACAACAAGGCGTCGTAAACAGCATATCGGTCGGTGCGACTTTCAGCAAACGCTTCTCGCATGAGTTACTTTAGTGTTCGACTGGGATGCGTTGTGATTACGGCAGCTCTTTCGGTGCGTGTAAGCAGTGCGAAAAGCTGCGGCAGTGCTATGGTGTACGGTGAAGCGCAGCGAAGCCTGTGCGTCGGTGTGGTTATCAAGCGGGGATCGGCGTCGGTGTATCGACGGCAACTAGCACTCGAGAAGCCTGCAATGTGTGTTTGTGTGCCGGTAACAGTTCGTTTGCTTGACTTTCCAGTGTCTTTGTTGGGTGCTGTACGACATTTCGGATTGACAGCGTTTTGGCACGTTACTTGAGTGACCCCAAGTCCGTACGGAAACGTATGAACTACGCGCTGTGTTCGGTTCTTCCTTCGCCACTGGTTAGGCCGTACGCTTCTATTTTCTTGAGAGCAATCTAGTGTTCGGGAGTGAAACGATGTTCGTTGTGAACAGTGGTGCTGTGTTGACGTTCCAAGACTTGTGAACAAGCTGTGCTCGTGTGACCGAAAATTGAAAGACAGCGTTGATAACTGTTTTGCCCTTCGACGTTGTGGTGGTGGAGCTTGGCGCTTTTGTTTGTTAACTCGTCACTTCTCCTTTTTGTGATAACCATAGTCCTAGTGCTGTGATGTGATCAACCAAAACTGCGAGATGCTATATTCTGTTGTGGATCGTGTTACTTTGGAAGCGCGCCTAGACTGTTCTTCGGTAACAACTTGAGAGTTTTATGTGGCAGCGAGAGCCCGTGAACGTCAAGCTTCCCTCCGGCCCCCAGAAAGAGCAAAGATTTCACCGGTGCCTTGCTTTGGATGAAGTCGTAGGCCAATACCGCCTAACTACAGGTTTCCGAGTTCTTCTGGTCATCGTTTTGCACGGCACTAGAGCCTTGACAACAGCCGGTCATGGCCAGTTCTTACACTTTATCAATGGACGTGCACGCTTGGCCAGCCCTTCATTGCTGTCATCGGCAGCTTCCAGTCTGCAGATTCCCTTTGCCTGTTGGCCGTAGAGCCCACTTGGTTCCTCATGACACCGACGGCTACTAAATTCTGCCATTGGTGAGTTCACCTTGCAGATATAAATTTCACCGGTACTATAATTCGCGCAGTACTATAACATGTGCAAGTTTTTGAGCCCATTAGATGTAATGTTTCCCTATGGTATGTTGAAGCATGAAAAATAATCTACTACTGTTATATACATGCAAATATTATGGAGCAAATACATCAGAAGATTTTTGTGATTTGATACAAGTGAGCTCTTGTTTGATTATGAGGTTGGGCCTGTCGATTTACCACGTTTGATAGTTGGAAAGTTGATGTGAATTTATTTTCCAGAAGCTAGGTTGCACTTAGGAAATTCATGTTATTTTGGAAGATTAGTTCTATCGACGATTACCACTGTGGTAGCACTATACTTCCCTAGGACATATATATTGCGGTACGTAAATTTTACATGAAGCTTCAGTTTATTTCAAAGTGATTATAGCAGATTTTGGTCACTTTGACGAAGTGATAGCTTCATCAAAGAAGTATTAGAAGTCAGTGCTTTTAATGATTGTTTTTAAATATCTCGTTTTTGGCTCTTAACAGATCGCAGAGATCGGCTTGTTAATGTCCTGCGATGCATCGGTTGCACACACTGGCACATAAATCCTCATCATGAATTGGAGCACCTGTACGAAAATAGGAAGGACACGTGCTCCCTAACTGTGCAAGTCTATGTCACTGCTGGGACTGTTATCATTCAGCGGATGTGGCGTGGAAGCATGCATGGCAGCCTCATCTGGAAGGACTGCGGTCTGCTTGGGAGCTTCGAGGGCACAAAACTGCCTAACGGCTGGCTGCAAGGTTAGTTTTTCTTTAATACATACGATTAAGTGAACACCACTTACTCTGCACAAATTGAAAACCCAAGCATGGTTGCTTGCAGTGGATACCTGTATTATTCTCACACATAATTCTTATTCAACATTTATAGAACTAAATAGCAAGATAATTGAGAATGTTGAAAGTTGAAAGCCTACACCTTATGAATGAAACTGGAATCATCCGAGACTCAAAAGCTGGTCCTTTTGAATGAGCACAAATACTTTGATTCCTTATTGAGCTCTCGAGCTTGTGACTCCCTCTGTGGATCGAGTGCTCTGGAAGGAAATAGCAAATGGGTGAAAATCGCCTGGCTGTTCACAACTTGCAAGGAGAAAGACCTATTGAACAAGCCTCAGGCGACATAGGGCCAGTAACTGCATCTTTCACTTCATGTAGCTTTTTCTCTCTCAGTGATGTGGCTTGTTG